TTCTCTGGTTTCCTTAAGTATCACCCCATGTCCTGTAGCCTCATGGGGCCTTCCCTGCACTGCTTGAGCCCCAGCGTGTCTGGCCTCCACGGCTGAGATCAATTACCTTCTCTGGAAACATTCCTAGTTGTCCTCTTACCTCTGGAGTGGTCATTTTGCCTTTTAACCTACTCACAATAACTCAGCTAAATGTTTTGCATGCAATAGGTGCACAATATATATTTGCTGAATAAAGAAAGAATTCCTAAATTCAGACCTTCATCACCATACTCTTTTTCCTCTGTATTCCTTTAAGCTTCAAATACTGTATAGAGCTAGCCCAAGTTGCATTCAGAAATATCAAGGCCATAGGAGTCTGGATATGTCTTTGTGTTTATTGTGAGCCTTGCTTCTAGAAGATGACCAAAACAAAGCAGTGTGAAGAACTGTTCTGTTGGTACCAACCTGTATGCATGCCCTTCACTATTAGACTTGACCATCTGTCCCACTACAGGAAGAGCATCTTTCTCACCCTTAGTTTTTGTGTAGGTCATATGATTTGCATTAAGAATGAAAGAGAAGTTGCAAGACACCTGTCCCAAGAAGCAGCCTCTAGCATTTATGCTAGCCATCAGACACTTCTGACATCACCACACGAACAGGCCACTGGATAACCAGGTACTCCCACCCAGGCTGCCAGCCACGTCTGGTCTGGGTCTATTGGCCCTCAACTTGTCTACAGATAGCATGTGTGATTATGACAGGAGCTTCATGCTACTGTGGTGGAGTGTTTGTTAAATAACAGTTACTGACAGGATTGGACTCAAGACTGAGATCTGAGAAGATCCATAGATCATTACCACCTAGCAAACAAAAATGATAAGGATGATGATGGTGACAACACTAAATTAGTAACAACTCACATTCATTAACAGTATACCCTGAGAACTTGAAAAACATTGACTCACTTGAACTAGTGTTAAGTTTCTCTTTACAGAATATTGAGAAGACAGCAGAAGGTTCCTATATACTTCACAAACAGTTGCTCCTATTGTTTTTTATTTATGTATTTTTGTGTTAACAAGATGGCTCATATGGGTGGAAGAGCTTGCCATCAAGTCTGATGACCTCAAATATATCCCTGGAAACCCACAAGGTAGGAGAGAACCAATTACTGCAGGTTGTACTGACCTTAATAATAAGTACCATGTGCTGACACACACACACACACACAAAGTAAATAAATACATGTAAAAATACATCTTTATTTATTCTGAGGGAAAGTGGAGAATGGGTCTAGTTGTGTAGCCCTGGCTGGCTTCGAACTTGTTACCATCCTGCTTCAGCCTCTCCTAAGAGATATAAAATTTCACATCAGGCTTAGTTTTATTGATTAACTGCTTTTAAAAGTTATTTATTTATTTAATGTGCATGAATGTTTTGTCTGTATGTATGAGTACCATGTGTGTATATGATGCCCCAGGAGGTACCAGAAGAGGGTGCTGGATCCCCTGAGATCGGAGTCACAAGTTGTAAATGATCATGTGGGTGTTAGGAAGAGCAGCCAGTGCTCTTAACTGACTGACTTCCCTAGCCCTGCTTGATTTAATGTGATAGGATCTGGCAATCATTCCAGGCTGCCCTAGAATTCCAATGACCCTTCTATCTCAGCTTCCTGGGTAGCTAGACCTATTAGGCCTGTACTATAATGCCTCTATGTAGTCCTGTCTGTCCTGTAACATACTACGTAGACCATAGTGATCCACCTGCCTCTGCTTCCCAAGTGCTGGAATAAAAGTGTGCCTCACCAAACCTGGCTTCATTTCCCCCTATTAACATAATATAATAACAGATGTGGGAGTCAACAGTTAGGACTCCCTTCCATCTTGACTTAAAGTCACAGAGTTCAAACTTATTCTTGCTCCTTAAGACCATATAACAGCATGTTTGACTAAAGTTGTGGTTACTAGATGTTTTGAGAATTAAAGAAGTAATTAATTGCACTTGTTTGTTCCTTATATCGTGGTAAGAACAAAAGTGGTCCCCTTCACTTTTGTTTTGGGTATAAAAGGGCTATTAGAAATAAGTTCAGTGTTGCTAAATATTCCCTGAGAGCCCTCCAGGCTCTACCTTCCATCTTTTGTCTCTTTCTTTCTCCATCCTCACTCCGCTTTTCAGGCTGGTCCCGACAGACAGCAGTTGTCACAGATAATTAAGTGACATTAAAACTTTATTCTCAAGTCAAGCCCATAACTTATTCATGCTTCCTTAATTTCCCCCTACCACATCACATTTAGCTGTCATATTTTTTTAGGCAAAGACCAAAAGCAGCCCCTTACTATTATTTACATACTAGAAACTATGCTCATTTGAAGTATATAGTTCAGGGGCAGAGACACACAGATACCGATAGCTCCCTGGCCAGCCCGTCTAACTAAAATGATGAACTCCAAATTCAGTAAGAGACTTTGTCTCAAAAAAAAAAAAAAAATAATAAGATAAAGAGTAATAAAGCAAGACATCCAGTGTCAACCTCTGGCCTCTGTGTGAGTTCATTCTCAAGTGCATATACACTTATGCACACACACACACACACACACACACACACACACACACACACACACACAAAGTGTACAATTTAATGTCCTTAGGTATTCTTAAAGTTGTACAGCTATCATATAAATAATTGTAGAATATATTCATCACTCCCAAAGAAATCCCATATTCAACTTCTGATAACCACTTATCTACTTTCTGTCTCTAAAACATCATTCTGGGAATTTCACAGAAATAAGAGTCATAAAATAGGGAGTACTTTGTGACTAACTTCTCCTGCTTGACACAATGCTTTCAAAGTTTTTGTTGTATCCTGTTTCCATCTTAATATATTTATAGCAAAAATAAATTTTCTTGTATGTATACACTACAGCCCATTTATCCACTATTGGCTGGTGGCTGTCATTCATTTCTACCTTTGGGTGGAAAGGCTGCTGTGACATTCCACTTTTGTGGAGATTTCTGTGCATACCTAGGACTGGAATACAGTCCAGTCTGTGTGGCTATTTTTAAGGACCTGTTGGGTCATTTAGAAAGTAAATGTGCCATTGTATATTCCTAGTATGCGTGGGTAATATTGTCAAGTTATAGGGATTTAGAAACAAGCCTCTGGGCATGTCTGTTGAGGATATGCCTAGATTCAATTAGTTGAGATGGGAAGAACCACCCTAAATGTGGCTGCCACCGTTTCCACAAGTTTGGGTTCCAGACTGAACATTTTCTGCCTCCTCCCTGTGGATACAATGTGACCTGATGCCTGACCTGACCTCCCGCTGTCATGCCCTCCCCAGCATACTGAACTATTCTCTCAAATTGTAGGTCAAAACAAACCCTTCCTTTCCTTTTTTTTTTTTTTTTTTTTTTTTTTTTTTTGGTGGGGTTTCTCTGTGTGTCCTGGAACTCACTCTGTAGACCAGGCTGGCATGGAACTCATAGATGCCCCCTGCCTCTGCCTCCCAAATGTCCAAATGCTGGGATTAAAGGTGTGATGCACCCTTGCCTGGCTAACACTTCCTTTCTTAAGGTGCTTTTTTTTTTTTTTTGCCAGATATTTTGTTGTAACAATGAGGAAAAATGAGTAATGCACATGTCAAGTTCCATTTTAACAGATAAGAAGTTGGAGCCCAGGAGGGTTAGTCATTTGCCAAAGTCTGTTCAGTTGAGGAGCAGTGTACTTAGGCAGTCTGCCTCCAGAGTCCCAGCTCTCAGCATCAAAGAAAACTGAAATAGCTCTAGCTTTCTCAGTGTATGATTCTGATCCTTTTGAAAAGTGTGCCTAATTTTCTATTCTCTTCTAGATCTGGAATGTATAAACCAATAGAAATCTCAGAAAAGAAATAAAATGATTCCCACATTTTCTCCCCAGTGTTAGGGTTCAAACCCAGAGACTTATACATGCTCGACACTGAGCTATATTCCAGCTTCATATGTTTTCTTTGTTTTTAGGGTTTATGAGACAGGGCCTCCCTATTATGTATCTCTGATTGTCCTGAAACTCACTCTGTAGACTAGGTTGGCCTGGAAGTCACATAGATCCACCTGACTCTGCCTCCTTAGTGCTGGATTAAAGTGTGTGCCACAACATCTGGCTACATATGTTTATTTTTTAATATTTATTTTATTAATTATTTATGTGTATATGGGTATGGGTATTGCATATGTGCAATGCTTACAGAGGCCAAAAGAGGGCATCAATCCTCTGGAACTAGAGTTACAGGTCTTTGTGAGTTGCCTGACACAGATGCTGGCAACCAAATCTAGTTCCCTGTAAGAGCACTTTGCACTCAGCTGCTGAGCCGTCTTCACCCCATACATATATATTTATATATTAATGAAGAAATAGTAAATACCTAAAGCTGAGATTGGGGTATAGCTCACTGGTGCTTACTTGTGAATGTGTGAGGACCTGGATTTATTCCCTAGCACACCATGCACACAAACACACACCAAAAACGAAGACAGAAAAAAACCCCACCCAAAATAACAAACAAACCATTAAAATGAAAACACAAAATCTGTGGCTGTATGTGCACACGAAAGTGTGTGTTTGTATACATGCACCATGGCACACATGTGGAGGACAGAGGACAACTTGCAGGAATCAGTTCTCCCCTTCCACCATGTGCATCCTGGGGATCGAACTCAGTTCCTCAGGCTTAGGACCTGTGTCTTCACCTGCTGAGCCACCTCACTGGCCCCATAAAAGGTTCAGGTATGAACCATTTTTTACTTCTCTCAACCAAGGAAATAGAATTTAACCTATAGAATGACAAAGTAAACATAAAACTTCATCATTACAAGACAATGAAACTCTATAGGAACCCTCTGGAAACTCTAGGAATGCTGTTGTTAGCGCTCAGAGTACTCCACTTAGGAAGCAGAAAGATGGACAAAATGACCAGTTGTATCTTGTGGTAGTATCCCTCAAGTGAACATGATGCCATCTTTGGTCCGCACTAACTTACCCTGAATTGCAGATAAATATACAAAAGTGTCTTCGTGCTCCAAGTTCTCCAAGAATATCTGGAAGCAGAAAACAGGGAAGGATGATTTTCAAAGAGCAAAAAGACATGGAGCCCCTTTATCCATTGTCTCAGAGGAGTACATCCTTTTCTTCTTGGTAGAAATTAGTCTGACATAGAACCCTGTGAGGAAATGGTTTATTTGCTTCAAGTCCAATTTCTCTAATAGTTTAAGGGGGGAGGAGCTAGGGGGAGGAACTTCTTGAAGTCATCAAGTATATACCAGCACTAGTCATGGAAATCAATACACCTAAGAATAATAAACAGGTAAAAATTTGACGTGCAAACCTGGCAACCTGAGTTATCTTCTGACTTCCACAAGCACACTGCAGCACATGTACACCCACACTCACACATGTACATTATACTCACACACAATAACATCCATAAAACTGTTTTTTTTAACCTAGCTATACTGAAACTTTATTCAGTCATATAATAAAAGAAATAAAGACATTTGTAGGAAAACAGATTCAACTGGACATTGTTATCTGAAGTGAAATAAGATACAAACTCAAGAAAGTTGCTTAATCTCTTTACACATAAATAGCTTCAGTGAAGATAGCAATAGAGCCTGATGTTATTGGAAGAGTTAAACAAATGTGAAAGGGTCACTTATGTGTTATTTATGTTTACAAAAATGAAAATAGTACATATTGCTAGATATATTAATGTTTCTGATATTTGTCTTCAAAGTGATCTTTGAATATCCTTGTAACTTAGTTTTGGATCTACTCACTGCACAGAGATTATTGAGTTAAAGAAATTCACTACTTAAGTCTTTTTCATTACTAAACTATAGGTATTCATTTCCTTTTAACTTATGGGTATTTTGTGACTGAGCCACCGGACATAGTTTAAAGAATAGATTTACTTTGGTTCATGGTTTCAGAGAGTTCAGCCCATGTTGGTGGGGGAGGAGGATATAACTGCTTAGTTTGTGCCAGATGAAAGCAGAGAAGCAGAGGGAAGGCGTGCTCTATTCTGCTGATCTTTCCCATTTCCCCCTGTACTTTGATGGTGCCAGGCCATTCAGTGAAGGTCTTTCCCCATCAACTAATCTGGAAAACCTCAGTCACCTAGGTAATTACAAATCTAGTCAAACTGAAGATGAAGATTAACCACAGCACTGTTTCAGTAACTTTTCAACCATGGCTAAGAAAACCAACTTAAAGGAGGAAAGATATTTTGGCTCACCATTCAGAAATTTTAGTCAAAAGTCACTCTGCTTTACATTTCTAGGCCTTCAGTGAGGTCCAGCAAGGTGGAAGGGCACAGTGAAGAAACATAAGCAGAAATCTCATGGCAGTCAGGCAGCATATAGAGGGGTTGTGAGGGGGGAAGGTCCTGGGAAAAGTCATCCAATTTAAAGGTATATTTGCAATGGTCTGCTTCCTCAAACTAGATCCAAATGTTGCTCACATAGTCCACAGAGCTATGTGTTATCAGCACAATCCTCTGATGATGCTGGCCCCCTTCTGATCAGTCTCCTCTTTAGTGGCACAGGCAGCTGAGGATCAAGCCTTAGCATGTGAGCTCCTGGATGAACGCTTCATATCCAAACCATAATGCCATATTCTTGCTTTTACTGAACTATAACTAGAAAAATATTTACCAGTTTATAGATGGGCAAAGAGATGTTACAAAAATCTTTCTGTTCCACTGGCTAACTAATTTCTAAAGGCTTAAAATAAGAAACAAAACAAAACAAAAAACTACCAAGTATCTCCCATGGAAGAAATTATTAATTCCATCACTTATAAGACAGGTCAGAATCTGCCAACCTTAACTGGTAGATTTGTCTGGACTAACAGAGAGTGACTACTTCTAAAGTAACTAAAATTTATCTGCAGCTAGAATTCAAGTCATTTACAGGATATGGTTAAAGAGTGTACATTCTACTTGAGGATGCACAATTGTTTAGTCAGTTGTAAGTGAAAGTATAGTTAAGACACCAACTTCTTCATTGTTAAATTAAAATCGTCAGGTAGGAAAATGTAATTTCAGTTGCTGCTGGCCCAGAGATAGATTAAAAATATGTCATGATGTGTTCACATAGAAGATGCCAACACTTGATTTTAGAACTGGGCACCACATGCTCACCCTCCAGCTCTGACTCAGTGGCTCATACTATTATGGTGTTCTTGTTTAAACCAAAGCCAGGAAGTCCAGAGCCAGAAATCCTATGACAATGACAATTTCCATGTGATAGTTAATGTGGTCTTTGGACAAGTTAAACTAAGCATAGTCTGGAACTGGGCTTCTGGATTTGGGGGCTTCTTACCTAAACTTAACAGAACAAACTACTGATTATTGGGGGCTTTTGAAGAGGATTTTCCGTAGAAAATAATGATTAATATATTGATTAAAACTAAATTATAAGAAGCTTATAGATCTGAGAGAAATGATCTAGATTTGGGGCTTAGAAATTATTTTTTTTTTTCCTCTACCTGAGTTTGAAAACTAAGGGTTTGTTAGCCAGTTCAGAATAGAAACATCTTTCTCCAGTGCCTCAAAATCTCTTTGCTAAATTTACCTTAACAGTTTAAAAATGACATTCTCCTGGGAATCATTTGAATTCAAAAGTCTTACTGAACTGAAAATTCAGGAACCTAGAAGCACCATAAAACTTTTTAAAAAGAACAATCCTCAACATTTTTCTGTGCTAGCCCATGGTGGACAACATTTTCAACACAGGTGGCTAGATATACTCTGATCCATTCTCCTGGGCTAACATGCACATGGGGTTCAAGGGAGACAGAGATGTTATTATTACAGAGGCAATTTCATGTCTATTCTACTTTTTAAAAACCTTGCCAAAAATCTCTAGCCCTTTGATTGACATTGTTAACAAACTACTCTCATTCTTTCCCAAATTAGGAACTTATCAGGATGTCAAATACAGTATGGTCTACCTAGAAGTCACTATGATGGCATGTTAAATATAGGCCCTAACATGGGAGCAACGGAAAGACAGCAGCATTTGTAATGTTACTCCTCCTTGCTTCTAGAGAAGGTGGAAGTGCCTATTTCTATATTGCTGTGTCGTTTGCTCGACAGAGTTCTTGATTTCATCTTTGTGCTATTGGTGTCTATACTACTGAGGGAGAGCTGAACATTAGTCTAAGCGGAATGATGATTAGGTTGGAAGACATTGGGATTGCATATGAGTGAGGGAAACAATACAGAGGAGTAGCCATGAGAATAAAAAAATATTTTAAAGACCTCACAGAAAAAGAATTAACAGGCTTTTCTTTCTTTTTCTTTCTTTTTTTTTTTTTTTTTTTTTTTTTGTTTTTTTTTGTTTTTGTTTTTTCTTTTTGTCAACTTGACACAAGTTAGAGTTATCTGGCAAGAGAGACCCTTAACTGAGGAAATGTCCCTCATCAGATTAGCTTGTTGGCAAAGCTGGAGGGCATTTTCTTAATTAATAACTGATGTGGGAAGGCCCAACCCATTGTGGGTGGTGCCACTCCTGAGCGGATGGTTCTGGATGCTAGAAGAAAACTATCTGAGCAAGCTAAGGGAGCAAGTTAAGAAGCAGAACTACTCCACGGCTTTTGCATCAGTTCTTGCCTTGAGCTGCTGCCTTGACTTCCCTAAATAGACTGTGACCTAGGATATGCAAGCTAATCAAATCTTTTCTCCTCAAAGTTGCTATGATCACAACAATAGAAACCCTAAGACAAGAGGTCTAAAAGGCAGAGGAAAGAGAGGAACAAGAGAGGGTTATAAAATATACATGTCATGAAAGCATGGGTTTGGTCTGGAAGAAGACAGGGGTCAGCAGGAGTCAGGAGGGGGTTGAGGGTAGAGCTGTGGGAGGTCTTGATTGCCAACTTGATGAGATTCAGTCACCACAGAAACACATCTCTGGGCATAACTGTGAGGGAATTTCTAGACTGAGTTAATTGATGTGGAAGACCTACCCTAAATGTGGGTAGCACTACTCCAAAAGCTAGGGTCCTGGACTGAATCGAAAGGAGAAAGGAAGCCAGTGAGCTAGGAATGAGTAAAGGTGGCTGCTGCTGAGGCAGATAATTTAAATTTAGTCCCTGAAACAGGAACTTAGGATTTGTTCTCTGATCACCACATACTCACTGTGGTGCCCACACACCTCGCTCATCCCACTGCATACAATAAAAATTTAAATGTAACAAAAATGCTTGCTTATCCTTTTTTTTTTTAAAGAAGAAAAGGAGCTGAGCAGTCACCTGTCTCTGCTTCCTGATGCAGATCCTCAAACCCCTGTCCCCATAATGACAGAGTATTCTCAAACCATGAGCCAAAAATCAATCCCCTCTTCCTTAAATGGCTTGTCAGGTGTTTTGTCATAGCAATGAGGAAAGAAATGCAGGAGACAAATAAGAACCAAATACAATGATATAGACATACAAAAATTTCACAATAAAACCCATTCCCTTGCATGATGACCAAAAACTAATTTAAAAAATACAAGGGACAAGTGTGTGGTGGTGCATACCTGTACTCCCAGCACTTCAGAGGAAGAGGTAGAGGATCAGGACAAAGTCAATCTGGGCTACATGAGACCCTGTTTCAAAAACTCAAAAGTAAGTCTGGCATGATGGGACATACTTGTAACCCCAGCCCTCTGGTGACAGAAGCAAGAAGATCAGGATTTCAAAATCGCCCTTAGCTATGTATCAAGTTTAAGAATAGCCGGGGCTATCTGATACTTTGTTCTCAAAAATCAGAAAAAGGAAAACAAAACAAGAGATGAATAGGGGCTGGGACTATGTTTTCATGAGTAAAATGCCTGCTGTGCAAGTGTGAGAACCTGAAAATATTCAGCATCCTTTTTCAAACTTGGAACCGATAGGTGGGGACAGAAGTACTGAAGCTTGATAGGCAGCCAGTTTAACCAATGGTGAGTTCCAGGTCCAATGAGAGGCTTTCAAAAATAAGAGGTAGAGTGATAGAAGAGTACACCTATTGTTGACATCTGGCCTCTACACCTGCATACACATGCACAGGCATGCATGCCATACACAGACACACACACACATACACACAAGTCACAAATAAGGGATACATTTATGTGAGTTTCTTAGTAAAAAATAATTGGCAGAACTTGGTGAACATAGCAAATGAAGACTAAATGCAGTTAAAGGAAATTCCAAAGGTGGTCCCAGCATGTACTACCTAAATTAGCATTCCACAGGATATTTGGGCAATAATCATACGATTAATCATACAATACTTCTAGTATCATACTAATTAAAATATAAATGTTTTCCATCAGAATTGTAATTTGCAATCTAAGGGCTAAACAAATATGTAGATCACCATCATCACTACCAAGGCTCAGAAAGATTGAGTGTGCTGTCTGGGAAGTTGAGATTGGGTCCCAGGCAGTAGTTCTCAGGCCCCTTGTTTTTATTGTAGCCCCTACTCAAGTCCCAAAGACTTCTGGAATATGCACTCTGCTATGTCAGGCTAGAACATTATGCACAGCTTATTTTTTGGCGTGATGGAGGCAAAAGCATGAAGGAGACCCAATTAGATCCAATGCTCCTCTAAGAGGACCCAGTTCACGGTGAGGCTTTTCTTCCCATTTCCCATCGAAGTGGCTCATGCTGGCCCACTGCCTGTCTTTTACATGCTCACACTTAGCCAGTTTATTAAATACATATGAAAATCCACCTCTCCCAGATTTTTTTCCCTGACTATCCACCACATTGCTCATATATAAAATCCTGTCACTCTATTCATGTTCGATTGAGCAGCCCTGTGTGGTCTTCTACACCCTTCTGACCTCAATCTGACTCCTCAACAATTTATTTTCCTGGAGGATAATCCAGGACAGTGCTTGACACATGGTCAATGTTTAAAAGATACCCGAGTTAGGCTGGTCATGGTGGCGTACACATTTAGTTCCAGCACTCAAGAGGCAGAGATAGGTGCATCACTGTGAGTTCAAGATCAACCAGAGCACCACAGTGAGATCCTGTCTCAAAACAAAAACAACAAACAACCCCCCCCCAGCTGATTATCTGTCCCCAGGCTGCTGTCTGCTCTATGTCATCATGTGTCTGGGCTGTGTGTTCTACTCACCTGGAGAAGCTTCTTTTGTTCCTCAAGAGCTCTTGCCTCTCTCTGCTCTACCCATCGGGAAAGAGTGCGTAGGGCAGCAGCTCGGGTTGGAACCTGGGGATCATAGGCTGATAAGAGAACTTCTTGGAACTGTTCTGTGGTTATATTTCTAGGTGACTGGCTTGTTGCTGTGCTAGGCTCTTTAGATTCTGGGCTTGTTCTAGGAGGGTCCCGCTCTTGTTCAGAGTGGTTCTGAGCTACTTCTATGGATGTGTCATGACTGGTTTGTTGCTGTTCTTCTGTTTTCCATTCCGGGTCTTTTTTGTTCAGGGTACTTTGGGCAGCCATGCTGACAGCCTCAGTGGAAAAGGCTCCATGAGTAGAGATGGTAATTCGGAGATCGACAGCGAGTTCTTGGATGACGGGGTCAGGGTATGTATTAGAGACTTTCTCCAACAGAGGCAGCAGCTGCTTCAGGACTGCAAAATCACTTGACTTCAACTATAAAATGAAAATTTAAAAATAGTAAGTCAAAATTAATGTGGAAAATGTTAATAAGTGAATATAAGGGGCAACAATCATGCTTTCCAACTCTGTGGCAGACCCCCTAGTTTGCTCACCACTATTTCACAGAAGTCCCTGTGTTTGCTATGGTTCTGGTATGTAAGTCAACTACACATGAAACATAGGCACATGCTTAGTTCAATGTTTTGTTTTTTTATTTGCATGAGTGCTTTGTGTGCATGAGTGCAATGCCTCTGAGGACCAGAAGAAGGGCATCATATCCCCCAGAACTGGAGTTGTAGATAGTTTTGAGGCACCATGGGGGTGCCAGGAACCAGGTTTGGGTCTCCTACAATAGCAACAAGAGCTCTCTACCTCTGAGCCACCTCTACGGTCTTTTCTGAACAGTTTAAGCAATGGCCTTTGGCAATGAAAGGAAGGTGGAAAGTAAGAAAGAATTGAAGGAACAAAGGGAAAGGAAAGGAAAGAAACAAGAAGACCTAAATAGCATGGCATAAGGGCAAGCTAAAGACGGCTGTCCCTTTAGAGAAAAGATACACCTTTGGTCTCTTAGTAATGAACCTCACTATGAAATCTGGGTTTAAAGGTTAAGAGTCCTCCCTTTAACAATACATTTCATTACTGCCCTGGCACAATATGGCTTCAGTTTATCCTAAGGCCAGAATGGTCTGCTCAGCTTCACCAAACCAGAGCAATAGTGGGCCCACCAGCTCTGCAAGACCAAGCAGAAATTGCTTCTTGAGGGGACAGGAAAGACTTCCCAACCTAATACTTTTACTGATGACCAAGCCTGGAATTTGGAAAATGAGTATGGAATTACAGTTGTCTTGTTAGCAATCTTAAACCTGCACTTTCTCCAAATTAACTCCTCTTCCCAGACACGATGTTTTAATAGTCACCTTAATTACATGAATTAGAAAGGAATGAAGAAAGGCCCTGATGCTGTTAGACTCTGTTTCATTAGCCAAAATAAAAACTCCTAACAGGGAATATGTAGAGCGTGGTGTTCTGGGTGCTAAAGCCAAGACTTAAGAGTATCAGTAGTCAACTAACACCATAGCTTTCAAGTGAGATTTTATTGTGAACACAAGACAAAACCTGGCATTACAAAGAAGCCTTTATAGGGCTGGAGAAATGGCTCTGTGGTTAAGAGCACAGGCTGCTCTTCCAGAGAACCTGGATTCAATTCCCAGCACCCATATGGTGGTTTGGAACCATCCAAACTCCAGTTCTAGGAGATCCTATAACTCTCTTCTGACCTCCTTGGACACCAGGCATACACATGCTACACATTCATATTTGGAGGAAAAACATTCATACACATAAAATAAATCTACATTAAATGTAAAAAAAAAAAAAAAAAAAAAAAAAAAAGCCCTTGCTGGATGTGGCAGCACATGCCTTTAATCTCAGCACTCAGAAGACAGAAGAAGGTAGATTTCTGAGACTATGGTCTATAGAGTGAGTTCCAGAACAGCCAGGGATACACAGAGAAACTGCCTCAAAAACAAAAACAAAAAACAAAACAAACAAACAAAAAACAGGGGGAAAAAAGAGCTTATAGGGGTTGGAGAGATGGCTCAGCAGTTAAGAGCACTGGCTGTTCTTCCAGAGGACCCAGGTTCAATTCCCAGCACCCACATGGCAGCTCACAACTGTCTGTAATTCCAGTTCCAGGGCATTGGATACCTTCACACCAATAAACATAAAATAAAGTTAAATAAATTACTTTAAAAAAGAGCTTATAAATGCATGAATCAAACAGGAAACAAAGAAATTTAGCAAATCTAGGGCAAAAGTAAAGGGGGTAATGTCTTTCTGTTCACTTAAACTGCAAGTCAAGTAAACCCAGGATGTAGTAATGAGTCAGGATGGCTCACAGGAGGGCAGGGACAGGCAAGGCTGTCCAGGTGCAGCAAGTCAAGCCTGGGCAATGAATACAGCCAGCCTCCCACTACAGGCTTCTAGAAGAGAGATGGGAGAGTTCTGTGATTTATTTTCCATTTGTTATGTTGTCTGAAATAAGTACTAAATAAAAGGATACAACATACACATAATCTATGTTTTCAATTTATAGAAACTATCCAAATTAATATTCAACCAGAAAAAATTCAACTGAGCTAATTAAATCCAATAACAATCTAACTTAAGCTATTCCATATGTGGATTCTTCCTGGCTTTGGAACCTTACCCAAAAACTTATTTTTTCAAATGACATATAGAATATAAAATTAGGGATGCTAAGGATATCCAGTGAGAAATGGAATTCACATTGACAACTAGCCCAAATAAAATCTTTTTTCTCCTTAAGAACAGGCAGGAGTGTCCCACCTTTTGACATTGAGACATAATGTTGTAGTACGGGACACAGGCTGCTGGTTGGGTATGCTTGTTAGAATGCTGGAGATGTAACTCAGGGGAAGTGAGAGGTACTGGGTTTGATCTCCAGAACCACAGAGAAAAATAAGCCTAGAGAGAGGCAAATTCTAATAATAATGTTTAAATGCTTAAATTCAAAATGCATTCCCCAAGGGCTCCCTGTTAATGGGTGTTGAATTTGATTTCATAATACCTGCAGTCTCCTAACCAATGTGTCACCCAATTAACCAGTCACCCTCACAGGTCCTGCCTTTCCTTTTCCTTTGCCAGTGCTGTCCCCAGGGTGCTACAACTCAACCACACTGACTTCCATCAGTGCTCAAGAAAACCAAGTTTTTCTCTGGTTCTGAGCCTTTGTCACATTGAAAGTGTTTCTCCCGCCTGTTCTGCACACCCCACTCAAACACCTATTCCTCTTTCCGGTCTTGGTGAAATTACCTTTGCTCACCAAAGACCTCTCAGCCTAGCTCAGATGTTACGTTATGTTCTCATGGTCCCCTCCCCTCTTCTGTTGAGGCATTCCATTCAATTCTAATCGTATTTTTAAAATAATCATTCTGGGTATGCCTTCCTTCCTGGACTATGGTATAAGGTATAAGCCATGTCTGTCTCGTCCAGTGCTGTATTTCCAGATCTTTAGCTCAGGATCTGTCACATGGCAAATATGCAATCAATAATGGTTGAATAAATAAGTTAAAAATTATAAATTAGGACTGGAGGGATAGCTCAATGGACTGCTTTTGCAAAGGACCTGTGTTTGCTTCCCAGGACCCACATTAGGCAGCTAACAGTTGTCTGCAAATCCAGCTCCAGGAGTTCTGACACCCTCTTCTAGCCTCAGCAGGTACCTGAACTTATGTACACATACACACATACGCACAATTCAAAAATAGAAATAGATCTTAAACACATTAACTATGCAAAAACCACATAAGCTAAGCTGTCATAGCAGTGCACACCTGTAATACTAGTACTTGGAAGGTAGGAAGGAATATCATCTTTTTTAATTCAAGGCCAGCCTGATCTAAAAGTGAGTTCCAGGACAGCCAGGTCTACATAAAGAAACACTGTCTTGAAAAAGAAAGGAAAAAAACAAAACAAAACAAAACAAACAAAAAAAAACAAAAAACAAAAAATGGAGTGTCTGCCTCAGGCACAAAACATTATGCTCAATGTTTCCCAAACAAGCTTGTTCTATATAGGAAAGAGCCCTGTCCTTTAGACAGTGACATCCTAGCAGGTCAGTGTGAAGTGGCATGTTTGTTGTCTGTGATAGAGATGATTCTCATTAACAACACAAGTTGGTCACCCTGTTTCTCCTGGATGTAATATCCATTCTTATTTTCTGTGAAGGCATGGAAGAAATACAGCAGGTCCTCTTTCCTATTCACCTACAACTCACCTGAACAGCTCCTCCTAGCATAACAGCTACCAGCCCCATGGACATGCTCAGTGTCTGGGATTCCACGGTACTCTTGGCCTCATGAGCCAGGCTTGCACATGCTCTTTGCAGTGTTGCTGCTACAAAGTCCACTACCTACCAGAGAAGGAAATTAGCATCAGTGAGGGATACAAAACAAATATAAAAATCCATACATTTTAAGTCTATATCATATTCAGCATCATGAGAACATAATGGCTGCTACTTTGTACCAAGAGTGCTATTCTATCCTTATCTGCTTTGTTTTACATTTGCTGGTATATGCAGAATGTTTTGAAAGATATAGAGACAGCCAAATGACAAGATGGAGTGGACAATGCATGAGGATATAGCATCTAGCACCTTCAGAAGCTTTGCAACACAGAAGAGTCTAAGTATTTTATATGCATAGTATCAAGTTTTTTTTTGTTGTTGTTTTTTTTTTTTTTTGAGACAACATCTTATATACTCATATGGTCCAGGCAGGCCTTGAACTTGCTATATCATTTTGGGCAGTCTTGGACTTCTGCTCTTCCTGCTTTCAATTCCCAAGTGTTAGGATTATAGTTATTTGTCACCTTGCCCAATTTATATGGTGTTGGGAAATCAAACTCAGGGTTTTCCGCATGCTAGGCAAGCACTCTACTTGTCTTTTGAGATGTGTGTGTGCTGGTGGTGGGGTGTCTCATATAGCCCAGGCTAGCCTCCAACTGGATACTGAGCATGGCTACAAATGACTGATTCACCTACTTCCTCTACCTCCTGTGCTGGGATTACAGATTTTGTTACTTCTGGCTCTCTCTCTCTCTCTCTCTCTCTCTCTTTCTTTTCTCTTCCTTTCTTTCTTTCTTTTTAAAATTCAGAACTGGCAAGGAAACTCAGGGCCTTGCATAATACTAGGCAAGGGCTCTACCACTGAAGTATAAACCCAGTCCCAAGAAACCATTTCTTATGAAGAATTCTCCCTTGTCCCAGTCAGCCATTGCATTTGATATTTACCCAAAGTGGGTAGAAAACTATGTTTAAAAAAAAAAAAAAAAAAAAAAAACCTGCCCACAGTTGTTTATAGCAGCTCTAATCCTCTAATCATGATTCTCAAAGCTTGGTGATAATCAAGATATCCTTCAAAAGGTAAGTGGATAAATAAACTGATTTGTCAAGACAATGGGAGATCAGTCAGCACTATAAATGTACTACTAAGCTGTGAAAAGACATGGAAGAATATTAGGAAGGAGAAAAACTACAAAGTGAAGAAGTCCTGAGAGGATACAAGTGAAAAAAAGGTGAGTAGATAGAGTATAGAGGTCAGATATGATAATGAGTATGTTCCTAGAATACTAGAATGCTAGAGAGGTGTGACTTATTAACTGCACAACCCTCAGAGTAAACCCTAATGTAAGCTATGGACTCTTAGTAATAATGATGTGTTCCTGTGGATTCATCAATTACAACAAAGGTTAAGTCACCAAGAGATGCAAGCATGCACAGACACACACACACACACACACACACACACACACACAGAGAGAGAGAGAGAGAGAGAGAGAGTGAGAGAGAAAGTAGTCTAACAAAGGCACTGTTCTGTGGTAGCAATGGGGAACATTGCACAGGAGATACATGAAAAACTTCTTTCTGTATCTACTCAATTTTGTTCTGAACCTAAAACTACTCTAAAATATAAACTCTGGGGGCTGCAGAGATAGCACCATGGTAAAGAACACTGGCTGTTCTTCCAGTGGAACTGGGTTCAATTCCCAGCACCCTCATGGCAGTTAACAACTGTCTGTAACTCCAGTCCCAGGGGCTCCAATGCCCTACTTTTGGTCTCTGTGGAGATTGCACACATGGTACACATACATACATTCAGGGAAACAAACATACATTTAAAAAATAAAAACTAAAAATTTTCTGTCAGGCAATGGTAGCCCACACCTTTAAACCCAACACTCAGGAGGCAGAGGCAGATGAATCTCTGTAGTTGGAGGCTAGTCTGGTCTACATAGTGAGCTCTAAGATAGCCAGGGACACATAGAGAAACCATGTCTCGAAAAACCAAACTGTAAATAAAAATAAATAAATAAGGGCTGAAGAGATAGCTCAGCTGTTGGGAGCACTGTCTGCTCTTCCAAAGTACCTGGGGTTCAGTTCCCAACATCTATATGGTAGCTCACAACTATCTGTGGATCCAGTTCCACAGTTTCTGACACCTTCACACCAATGCACATGAAATAAATTTATTTTTTTAAAAAAAAAACTGATTTAAAAAAAAAAAAAAGAAAACAAATAGGCTCTTGGCCAGGGAAATGACTAGGTGAGTAAAAGCACTTGCCATGCAAGCCTGACGATAGGTAGGGTTCAGATTCTCAGAAGCCACTCTAAAAGCTGGAAACAGCAGCAACTGTCTGTAAGCCCAGCACTCCTGCAGTGGCATGGGAGGCAGAGACAAGAGCAATATCAGAGTGAAAGAGGCCCATCCAAAGGCTTCTGGAACCGACAGGTCAGCTTGCTTGGAATATATAGCACATAGGCAAATGCAAGAGAGATCTTGCCTCAAAATCAAGTTGGAAGGGGAGAGAGAATCAACACCCAAGGTCACCCTCTGACCTCCACATGCACATATGTATATGTGTGCGTAGATATATGAGATGATAGGGAAGAAGATAACCAATTTTATTTACAAACCAGTGTCTTCAATCAATCTATAAATGATTCAAAATCATATTCTAAGTTTCAATATTTCTATAGGCTTAAGATATTTCATACACAAGATTTTATATAGTGTAAGCTATCAATAACCTTTCAATGGAATTAATTTGGTCAGCATCATCTGAACTGAGCCTGGTATAATCATCTTAAGTACAAACACCTTTGAACAAACAACAGCAGACACACATTCACGCACGTACTCATGCACACGTGTATATTCAGGATTAATGGCTCAAAGGGGAGATATCATTTTGTAAATGGGAAGGTTGAGATAGGTTGTAATAAGCCTCTAAACACTTGCAAGGTTGCATGTTTAACTCTCTGGACAAATCACATGCTATGCTAGAATCCTTACTGCAAGCTTAAAGCTGGAAGAATGGCCTGTTAACACTTGTCTTCTGGGACAAGGCAGGAAACTAGAAAGGTTATTTAAATGTTCTATGCACAGAAACAATGACAGCAATTTCTAGCTCCCTCTCTAACCCTGAGATGTTACTGATTTATATACCACTTTGGACCACCTAGTTGTGCCACCAAAAAGCTTTTAAGGTGTGCCTTGTTTTTATTTAGCTTCTATGTTAGCACAATAATTGTTTACTTGATAGAGCTAGTTTTTCCTAAGCTCCTTTCTAATGTATTTTTAATGTTAATATTACATTTGTTTATTCTTATGTGAATGTACACATCACATTTATGTTGAGATCAGAACAATTTGTAGGAATCTGTTTTCTCCTTCTACCAAATGGGTTGCAGGGACTGAACGCAGGTTGTGAGATTTGGTGGCAAGTACCTTTATGTATTGAGCTATCTTATCCAATCCATTATGTGCTGTTTTAAAAAGGAATGGTGGTGATTGTCTTTAATCCCAGCACTTGGGAGGCAGGGGCAGGCAGATCTCTGTGTTCAAGACTAACCTGGTCTACAGAGCAAGTTCCAGGACAGCCAGGGGTATATAGGGAAACCTATCCTTAAAAAATAAATAAATAAATAAAATAAAAAGGCTGGAAAACAAAAAATATGATCCTATTGTTAAGGAAGAAGCTTTCTGTTTGTATACATGAAAAAAAAAACAGATGATGGAGAACATGAAATTAAGAAAGACACTAGGTCGGGGAACAGGGAGAGCTGGAGGAACAGAGTAGAGGATGGATATGATCAAAATACATTGCAAAAATGTGTGAAAATTTCAAAGAATAAAAAATGTTTTAAAGAACTTGGGAACTGTTAACTATGAAGTAATAGCCAGGTATTAATATATGCCATCAACAAAATGCCCTTTCTCTTAAACTTCTTGTCTGTGGGGGGAACACTGAGATAGGGTCTGATGTAACCTAGGCTGGCTTCCCAATCTCTATGTAGCCAAGGATGAGCTTGAACTTCTGGTCCTCCTCCCAAGTGCTAGGATTACTTCAGTGTCCAACCAGACTGCCCTCCTGTAGCACCACTTTAACAGCAGCTCACCCTGCTGAGATTATGATGGGGCAGCCAACCCAAGAAGAAATCTGCAGTGACTGAAGCCTCTTAGAACTCAGAGGAATTTTTAATTTACTACCACCCAAGTTAGAGTCCCCGAGTTCAGCATGTACCTCTCAGTAGGCTGTTAAAATGCACGAAATCAACAGTCAGCCTCCAACCCCTTCCACTCTGTCAGCACTTTGTCAGCAAGTTACACATCTCCATAGGATCTTTAAGAGGATTAAATGAGTTAATACCTGTCATGTGTTCAGAATGGAGCCTGGTAAACAGCAAATACCTAATGTTATTATTAAAGAGTAAAGTAATTATAAACAGTTGACTCAGTAGACCCGCAATCAGGTGGGGGGAAGATGAGACAGAACACATCCATGAAAATAAGTCTCCTGCTTCTCAATGTGCTACTCCCACTCACAGTCAGGGTCCCCTGAGTTCAACACTTAGTAAGAATAAACCTGTAGGCTGGCGAGTCTGTTAAGCAGGTAGACAAGTACTTGCTGTAAAAGCTAGTCAATCCAAGTAGAGATGAAAGGAGAGCTGGGCAATGGTGATGCACACCTTTAATCCCAGCACTCAGGAGGCAGAAGCAGGTGGATCTCTGAGTTAGAGGACAGTGTGGTCTACAGAGTGAATGCCAGAAAACAAAAAACAAAACAAAACAATGAAAAGAGAGAAACAACTCCATGAAGTCATCCTCTGACCTCCACATGAGACCTCCCACGTTATACACATGTATATCACATCATAAATAAAGAATTTTAATAAAAAAGAAAAGCCTCTATTCCAACCAGGGCTGTTATATAGATAAACCCTGTTTCAAAAAAACAAAAACAGCCTCTATTCTTTCACTAGGGTATATATGAAGTTGGAGAGAAGAATCAAAGAGTTCCTCTAAATCTCAGCTCTGCATTCAGTCCCATCTTCAAAGCTTAGCTAGT